AGGGTTTTAGGGTTCAGGGGCTTTGGGTTTAGGGTTTAGGGTCAGTCATAGACTCAAAGCCCATGATAGGCTCCAACCCTCGGAAGCCTAGGCTCGAACTCCCTGAACCCGAATCCCTCTCCCTAAACCCTAGAGCTCCAAAACCTGAACCCTAAAGCATGGGGCCCTGCCAGCGTCCCGAACCCTTAAGCGGACCAACTCCCACAAACCAGGGCGACAAAAGCCCTGCCGTAGGCGTTGAGAGTCTTCCCCCAAAAAGGGTTAAAAAAAGTGTTATCGGGGTAACGGAACTTGTTCTAGGGCCAATGTAAGCCCGAAACCTGAAAGAAGGAACTTGAACCAGGGCCCATGTGAGGCCACAAGCCTGAAACCCACCTCTGACGGTTTCACGACCCACACGCCCGAATCCCAATGGAGGAGATTGAAATAACCCTAAGCCCTAAACCCAAAACCCTAAACCCTAAACCCTAAACCCCTAAACCCCTAAACCCCTAAACCCCTAAACCCTAAACCGTTAAAAATCGTGGGAGGCCTCCTCCCGGTTTGGGCCCGGCACCTCCGGAACAGAGAAAATCGGCTCAACGGATCCGGGCGCAGAGTCTTGGGCTTTGTAGGGTTTTGGGTCGTCTCAAGATTTCGATGTCACGGTCATCCCGGATTTCAGGGCTTACGGCTTGCAGTCCGGGGTGTAAGAGGTCTGCAGACTCTTGTCTACTTCCCACTGGTTGCACTATAGTGGAGGGTCTTTCGAGGATTCATCATACTAACTACCCCCACCCCCCTTGTAGCCGCTGTACACTTGTAGTAGAGCATGCCTTCAAAACCCCATTCTGATCATTGGTGCTTGTGATGTGCTTCACCATCCGCGAGGAAAGGGATGCTCATGATCAGCGTGTGTAGGGCTACTTGCAGGTTCAGAGGTGGGTATTGACCGGGTTGGAAGCACCTTGATTGGCATGATATGTAGTTGTAAAAGTAAAGTAACATTACTACTCTTGCAACCCAGCTCATCCTCATTTAGGGAGCAGGACAACAAGCCTGCGGCAGCCATGGCTCACAGCGTGGGAGCAATGGGAAGGCGTCCGGATGCGGGGCTGTCCCTTTTTTGAGAGTAGCTCAGTAGCTTTGGGAGATGGCACTGGGTGAATCTTAAACTAGAATCCTGAGCTGTGATGTGGGCTCTGCTGCTTGGGCATCTCGACGGAAAGGTCCGCAGACTTCCATCGCTGCTACTGCCAAGGTACGGGGCAAAACCCTGGATGCTTAGTGGCTCCCTTAATAGCAACCCTTAAGCCTCAGAGGTTAGAGCAACAGAGTAACTGTCAAAAACTGATGATACAAATCCTGCATTGCCTCAAGGACCCTAAACTATGGGACTTGTGGTATCTTCCCTATTATGGGTAATTGCAGGATTTCTATCATCAACCGTAGTAAGCCTTTTCAGCTTCATGGGCTGGGGATCTCATGGTTTCGTCTGAACCTGGAGAGCCGGTGGCACACAGAAGCAAACACGAAGCAGAAACTTGCCGAGGCTTTGAAGGCTTCGTGGGTGCCAGCACCACCTTCTTGAAAGGGCGCTGGTCCTTGGGGAGCTCTGAATTCAGAACGAGCAAATCATGACCTGCACACAGAGTCAACACAAAACCTTCAGGAGCCAAGGGTGGCAGAAACCGTCGGGGAACTGACGTCATCCACGGTTTGCACCACTATTTGGAGGTTCACGGGTAGTTCTAAATGTGGTTGTAACTAGGGTAACTATAACTATAACCTAGCTACGCATTCTCATGAACCTCCAAATACAGCCTATGCACAAGAGGGGTCTGCTGCGAATGCCCTGAGCCTTTTCGACGTTATTCCAGCTTGAGGATCCCTTTCGCAAGCAGCAGCCTGTGCGACAGGCGACGGCTGCCAGTGCTCGGATCAGGAGCTCATGGTTCATACCCATGCACCGGTTTAGGGCTTAGGGTATAGGGTTTAGGGGTTTTGGGCTTAGGGTTTAGGGTTTACGGGTTTAGGGATTAGGGTTTAGGGTTTAGGGTAACATGCTGGGTTTAAGAGGCCAGAGTGTGGGACGACCGAGAGTAATGCGGCGAAATTGGAGTGTGGATGCCCCAAGTCCCGAAGACCCAAGTACAAAACGACAGCAACGCAACTAACTAAACAACGCTACCAGCATGAATCCCAATCCGAATCCTACATGGGTGGAACAATCATGGAACCAGCACGAAAAACAGTTCGGAAGAGTGGTGTTGGTGATTCGAGAGAAACGGCAGCACCACAAAAAAGCGCTCGTCACAAGAAAAAATGGCAGCAGCACTAGCTGGTCGTGATGCTTGCCGTCGTCGTCTCCATCGTCGTAGTCGCAAAATTGTCGTGACCACAGAGGCGGTAACACACGAGTAGCAGATTGGAACAACAAAGCTAACGCTCGAACCCCAGAATTCCCTCAAGTCCCGGCCTGTGTCCAAGGGACTTCACGTCCAAGGCCTCCCAGAGGGACTGCTCGATGCCTCACCAAAGGCCGGCTCAGGCATTGTCTGAAACACCCAAACCCCGAATTCCAAACCGGCTCGCGCTGCTTTCTCAACGAGGTGCCAACATGTTAGCAGCAAAGCCCAAGGCAGCTAAGGCCCTCCGTTCAACCGGGAGGACCCGAAGCTCCACAGCGAGCCCTCTACCTCTAATCGCAGAAGCTTGCGCCTTGGGATTCCATGGTGTAAATACACTGGGGTAGCCGCCGCGGAACGGCAGTACGACTTGTTCAGACCAACAGATCAGGGCTTTGCAATTCGGGCCCAGCGGAAGCAGCGATTCGAACACCCAAACGCTCCTCCCCACAGTCCCCAAAAGCCCAAACTTCATGCTCCGAAAAAGCAGCAGCCTTTTCAAGAGAATTTCCACGGAGTAGTGGGCAAGGCTCTAGTATTTTGCCGGGAAC